AGTCAATACTATAGACTGATCTATAGTCAAGACTATAGAGTGATCTATAGGCAAGACTATAGACAGATCCATAGGCAAGACTATAGACTGATCTATAATCAATAGTATAGACTGATCTATAATCAAGAGTATACACTATAGACTGATCTATAGTCAAGACTATAGACTAATCTATAGCCAAGAATATAGACTAATCTATAGCCAAGAATATAGACTAATATATAGTCCAGACCATAGACTGATGTATAGTCAAGACTAAAGACTGATCTATAGTTAAGACTATAAACTAATATATAATCACGTCTATAAATGTTCTATAAGACTATAGGCTGATCTATAGTCAACACTATAGATTTATTTATAGGAAAGTATAGACTGATCCATAGTCAAGACTATATACTGATCTATAGTCAAGATTTTAGACTGATCTATAGCCAAGACCATAGGCTGATCTATAGTCAAGTCTGTAGACTGATCTATAGTTAATATTATCGACTGATCTGTAGTTAAGAATATAATCTATAGTCGAGACTATAGACCGACCTACAGTCAAGATTATAGACCAATCTATAGTCAAGACTATAGACAAATCTTTAGCCAAGACTATACACTGATCTATAGTCAAGACTATAAATGTTCTATAAGATTATATATTAGAGATATAGTAGAGACTATAGAGTGAGAAGACTATAGAAGTCAAGAAGTCAAGACCATAGGCTGATCTATAGTCAAGTCTGTAGACTAATCTATAGTTAAAACTATCGACTGATCTACAGTCAAGAATATAAACTGATCTATAGTCAAGACTATAGACTGACCTATAGATATGGCAATAGACTCATATGTAGTCAATACTATAAACTGATCTATAGTCTATAGTCAAGACTATAGACTGATCTTTAGTTAAGATTAATGGTTGATCTTTGTAAAGAAAATATATTGATCTATAGTCATGACTATAGACTGATCTACAGATATGACAATAGACTCATATGTAGTCAATACTATAAACTGATCTATAGTCTATAGTCAAGACTATAGACTGATCTTTAGTTAAGAATTGAAACTAATATATAGTCAAATCTATAGACTGATCTGTAGTCAAGACTATAGACAGATCTATAGTCGAGACTATTGACTAATCTATAGTCGAGACTATAGACCGATCTATAAAATGATATACTTATGTATATATAGCCAAGATTAATGGTTGATCTGTGTAAAGAAAATAGACTGATTTATAGTCATAAATATAGACTGATCTGTAGATATGACTATAGACTGATCTATAGTCAAGACTATAAACTGATCTATAGTTCAGACCATAGACTGATCTATAGTCAAGACTATAGACGGATCTATAGTTAAGACTATAAACTAATATATAGTCAAGTCTACAGACAGATCTGTAGGCAAAACTATAGACAGATCTATAGTCGAGACTATTGACTAATCTATAGTCAAGAATATAGAACGATCTATAAAATTATATACTAATCTATAGCCAAGATTAAAGATTGAGACTAAAAATTAAATTTTGTAAAAATAATAGATTGTTCTAAGGTCGAAAATTCTTAATTTTTTAGTATAAACTATAAAAAGTTTCAAAAAGTGTCATATTTTTTCAATTAGAAACCGAATACGCAAAAAAGTATATATAAAAAAAAATAATATTCTTCAAGTAGTACCTTAACTAAAAGAATTTTTGTTAACCTTAATGCCCTTTTTAAATTAACAAAAAATAAAATAATAATTAAAACATAAAAAAACACATCCTTCCATATAAAAAGAAATACTGTAATTTAAAAATAAAGAAAAAACAATTCCCTTAAATAAATGATTCCTTTAGCAAAATATTTATAATTATAAAAATAAATATAAAAGAAAAAAAAAAAAACAACAAGAAATACTTTATCATAATAATTATTATAATTATTAGAACATAACAGACAATTTAGGTATAATATTTTTTCATATGAATTTTTTTATATAAAAGAAAATATTTTACAAAAACAAAACATTATTTATATAACTTTTTTTTAGTTATTTTTACAAAAAAAAAGAAAACATATATGATAATATAAATTTAAAAGAAATTTTGTAGTTTTTTCTTTTTTTTTCTATAAACATAAAATAATAAATAGTTAAAGAAAAAAGTTTACATACAATTATTAAAATTAATAATATTAAACAATAAAATATAAACAACAGCAATTTAAAAACAAACAAAAAAATATTTCTAACCCCCCCTCAAAACTTAAAAATAAACCAAAATTAATTAATTAAAAAATAAACCCAAAAGAAATAGTTGAAACAAATTATTATTTATTACTTAAATAAAAAATTAAAAGAAAAGTTTTTAAAACTAAATATATCAGTATAAAAAAAAACAAATAAAGTGAAATATTAATACAAATTAAAGAAAATATAATTAAAAATCAAATAATAAAAAAAAAAAAATTAGTTGCAAACTTTTATCGATATTATATTTCCAAATAATATACAGTTTAAATAAAATAAAACAAAATGTATTATTAATATAAAAAAATATATATAAAACAAATACATAAAAGAAATCTTGAAAACTTTTGGTGCATCAAAAAGAAAAAAATAAATACAGATGGAAAGGAAAGAAATTATATATTAATAAAAATTATAATATTACAAGAAAAAAAAAACAAAAAAAAAAATAATACAATTCACTTAATAAATACATTTTTTCTGAATAAATATTTTAAAATTTGTTTTATTTTTTAAATTATTTATTAATTTAGATTCGATAATATGAGAACCTGGGGGCAAATTCTTGCATTCTATATCGATCGATATTTCAATAGAACTTAAAAAAATTTATAAGAAATTTCGTTCGCCTTCGATTGCCTGATTTTGTTTCCAGGGCTGGAAAATTAAAATTTTGAAGAACTACTAACGTTTACTAATAAGTACGTTTTTAAGTACTAATTGTCGAGTCTACGTATTAGTCTAATGTACTAGTCTATGGTTTAGACTAACGACTAGTCTATGGACTGGTATATTGTCTAGTCTATGAACTAGACGCTAGACAATTGAAAGTCTAATGAAATACTATTGACTAGTCTGTGGACTAGTCTATTGACAAGTCTATCAGCTAGTGTATAGATTGATTATATAATTGACTAGTCTCTGGACCAGACTATTGACGAGTCTATGGACTAGTTTGTGAACTAGTCTACTGACAAGATTATTGACTAGTCTATGGACTAGACTATTGACAAGCTTATTGACTACATTATCGACCAGTTTATGGACTAAACTATTGAATAACATTTAGACTAGTCTATGTACTATTCTATCGATCACTATATGTGCAATATATAGTAACTTTACTAGACTATGGACTAGTCTATTGGACAATACTATTAATTAGTCTACGAATTAGTCTATGGCCTTGACTTGTCTATTGACTGGACTATTAGTAGTCTATGAATTAGAAAGGACTAATCGATTAACTAGTTTATAACTTGGCTAGTGACCAATCTATGGACTATTGCTTAGTCTATGGACTAAACCATTGACTTGTCTATTGACGGGTCTATTACTAGTCTATTGGCAAGATTATTGACTAGTCTGTGGACTAGTCTATTGACAAGTCTACGGAATAGTCTATGAACGAAATTGACTAGTCTATTAACTAGTGTATAGATTGATTATATAATTGACTAGTCTATGGACCAGACTATTGACGAGTCTATGGACTAGTTTGTGAACTAGTCTATTGACAAGATTATTGACTAGTCTATGGACGAGGCTATTGACAATCCTATTGACTACATTATCAACCAGTTTATGAACTAAACTATTGAATAAAATTCAGACTAGTCTATTAGTTAGTCTACGAATTAGTCTATGGGCTTGACTTGAGTCTATGTACTATTCTATCGATCACTTTATGTGCTATATATAGTATATTTACTAGACTATGGACTAGTCTATTGGACAAGACTATTAATTAGTCTATGGGCTTGACTTGTCTATTGATTAGACTATTAGTAGTCTATGAATTAGAAAGGACTAATCGATAAAGTAGTCTATAACTTGGCTAGTGACCAATATATGGACTATTGCTTAGTCTATGGACTAAACCATTGACTTGTCTATTGACTGTTCTATTGGCTTACGTATTGACTAGTCTATGGATTAGACTATGAACTATGGACTAATATTGACTAGATCATTGACTATTCTTTTCATTATTCTATTGACTTGAATTTTAACTAGCCTTATGACGGGTCTATGGACAAGCATATATAATCTATTGGCAAGTATATGGATTAGTCCATTAACTGATCTATATACTGCCCTAAGTAATATATTACCAATTCTATATGTATATCTTATTATTAAACTGTTGATTAGTATATGGACTACATTATAGTCAATGGGCTAAACTATTGACTAGTCTATTAACAAGCCTATGGACTCAATTGACTACTCTATTGGCTAAGTATTCTATTGACCAGTCTACTGAGTAGTCTATAGATTACTTGCTAAGTAGTGAAAAGATATAGGAATTGAATATGGTGTTGAGAAGTTAGAAGACATGACACCACCGGCACACAGCATTCCCCGCTGCTAACGATACTTCAGACGATTACGTACCACCTAAACGTGATGAATTATATTTACCTTTACACTCCACCATACAAGGACTATACTTTAAAAAGTATTAAAATGTTATATGAATTCCAAGATCCTACAAATATGTCTCCCAACTATAGATCAGTCTATCGAATAGTCTATGGACCAAACTTGCAATAGTCTATAGACTAGCCTATGGACTATATCAAAATTACTTAATCAAGTTTGAGAGAAATAGAGTTATTGATCACTTACCAACATTATAGTGTGTCTAAACATTGGTCCACTGTATAATCAATTACTTACTTTTTATATATTGCAAAATATATTAAAATAAATCTGATTCGATTTAGTAAGCACAATGAAAACAAATGAAATTAATA